TTTGCAGCAACAGAAACCCCAGATTCTGCCCCTAAGCTTTTCTGTCTTGACTTCGCTCACTCCTGCTCACAAACAGTTAAATGTGAAATAGTCCTTGGCTGCTATTTTATAATTCTATTTACCAGGCTGTTAAATGTAAAGGATTTTCTTCCCCTTTGGACATCTGCTGTCATGAACACTATAGCAGCAACTAAGAATACAACCATACACCAGCTCCCAGTGTGCCAGGTGTGGGAAAACACAGGAGGAAAGGCAGTGTCTGCTCCAGAATTGTTCTCTGAACTTCGAACAGTGCCTTGTTTTAAAGCCTGAGGAGCAGTTTAGGAAAAGCTCAGAAGGCACAGCCAGGTAGAAAAGTCAAGGTAGCATTGCTGCAGGAGAACCAGAGCCCCCTTCCAAGTGCATAGAAGCTATTCCTGTCCCTTTTTTGGTCACTGTTTGGTAACGGGCTGTGCCAGCATCATGCTGTGCTACCATCTAACACTGCTGGCTCCTTTGCTCTCCTGTTTTCAGCTCGAGTGTGAACACCTTCGCTATCCTGGTTGGTGTCCTGGGCATCCTGATCATGCTGGCACTCATCAGCTTGGTAGCGCTGTGTGTCAGGCGGTGCAAGCAGCTGAAGAGAAGAGGTATGTGGAGACTGGCGATGTCCTGGGCTGTACTAAACAGGGCCTCCTCTGGCCATCACTTTTCCACTACAACTCATTCCCAAGTCACAGCACCCCAGAGGAGGTAAGGCTGGTGCAGCCCAGGAAGCCGCAAGGCTGTGTTCTCCTCTCACAATAAGTCAGACCCATGTTCCTCCAGTCTGCACTGGACACCTCCTAACCTCTTAGAGGAGAAGCAAAGTGTGAGCAACGTGTTCACCAGATGCAGGGTAGATGGGTGCCCCTGGCACACCCATTGCTTCTATCACGGGGCAATCCCACAGACTTACCCCAAGCTCCTGAAGCATAGGCAATGCCCAGGCACTTCATGGACTTCTCTACTTCTAAAACCTCTGATTTTGGCTCATTCCAAAGGTAACAGACAAGCAGAGAACACCTATGAAAAACCAGAGGACATAGCACAGGTAAGGAAAACCTTAGATTTCTTATATGGTACCCGAATCCCTTTCCAATAGTCTGTGAGGAGCTGGCTGACCCATCTGATGAGGACCTTGGTGCTCATTTTTGGTTGTGAGCAGGAGGGGAAATGGTATTTAATGCCATCAGGGAGAGGAATATTCCTAGGTGGAGACAGGGGGTAATCAATATAGGGAAACTCCAGTAGCAAAAACCCACAAGTTCTATTAATCTCTGAGAAATTACTCAAAGACCAGAAACCAAGGTTAGACCATAAGGTTGTAACCTGTAGCAAGGAGAGGGGATGAAGGAAAGAGTTTTCTGTTCTTCCACCTCTGTCATGATCGTGGCTTCTCCTTTCCTCCTGGGAAAATCTTGTTCTTTTGCTAAAAGCCGTGGCCTGCACTGAATCACACCAACAAGTGTTTTCTCTTTCTTTTCGCAGCTTGACAGCACTGAAAGAATGGAAGGTTCCCAGGATTACAGCAAAGACCTCAAATATGTCACCCTGAACTTTAAATCCCACCTCAGCCCTGAGGATCCTCTGTACTGCAATGTTGAACCAAGTCAAGCCCACAGGAAACACGAAGGTGAAGATGTGGAATACGCCATCATTGCACTCCAGCAGTTACCCACGACTGACAAAGGATAAGGCACAGAATCCCAAACCAACCCAGAGATGGGAGACAAGAACTGGAACACGACGTGGGGATGGGGTAGAAGGTGTGTGGATGCACACTGGGGAAATATCTACGTCTTTACTGCCATGTGTGTGTTGCCCATGTGTTTTAAGACCTCCCTCCTATTAGAGGCCAGTGGAGAAGTTTCCATAACCATGCAGATTCTCGGGTCGGACAGAGGTGCTGGGTACCTCTCAGGATCCCCTGCACATCTGCTTTCTTCAATTCCATTAAAATGAAGGCTCGTTTGGAGAGGCAGGCGGGACCTTTTGAAAAAGAGCAGTATTTGTCTGGACGGGGATGGGTTTGGTATTTCAGCTCTGTTCACTGCTAGAAACTCTATCCCACTTCTAAGTGGCTGCACTGCACAATTTGCAAGCTGAGGATTGTGCTGGATGAATCTGAGATCCAGAAGGTCTTGCAGCTACAGAATAACAACGTATAGAAGTAACACCTACACTTTTTGAGACTTAATGCAATTACCCTGTAATTTAAATGTATCAGTCTGCTTAGATGAGAAGTAAGGTGGTAAAAGGCTTTCAAACTAGAACTAAATGTTTAGCTTTACCTCAAGAAACAGAGTGTGCACGCTGGAGTTTGGGTGTAGGAGGGAATGAAAGTGATGTCCTTTTATGGAGCACAGAGGGTGTGGGATGGAGTCAGTACAGCTGCTGTGGATTGCACGGGCAAGAGCCTCCAACACCGTACCCTCTATACAACCCAGTTATTTCCAAGCTTGAGGGTTGAATTTGCTCTCGGGGTCACCCACAGCACATTTATGCAGACTTTGAGGCTTGTATGTTGAAAACAGAATGCAGCAGCAGCAGAAATGTGAAGTTACAGGCGTCCCACGTGTAGCTTGTGCAGACTTCCCCATCCTTTCACCACCTCCTGAGCAAGGCCCTTACTGTGTTCAACAACTCCTGGCTGGCCTGAGGTCTTACACCCTCTGCTGAACACACACTCTGCCTGCTTAAACCAAGGCGGTGTGGAATCCGATGAGAAGGGAGAATAAAAAATGAGTATTTCTGGAGAAAGAAAAGAAGGGAACAACGGGTGGTGTTGCACTGGGGGAGCAGACAGGGCACTGGGATGCTTCTGAACAGAATTTGCCTTGCTGTGCTCATGGCAAGGACAAGCCCTGAGACAGCCATGAGGAAGATCTGAAAGAGCAAGGGACTGGTGAGCTGGGCAAAGAAGCTGCAGGAAATACAACTCAGAGGAAGAAATATGAGCGTAAGAGGGCTGGTCTCAATGGTAGCTGATACAACAGAAGGGACACAATAGTGCTTAAGAGTGGATTATTTACAGCTGTTAATGTCCAAGTCAGACACACAATACATTTATGGATCTCCAGTGCACCTATGATGCAGGTTGGCAGTTTCCAAGAGCTGCCACTGGCTGGGGCCTCATCAAGCCCTGCTGTCCTGAATAATCACACCAGAAACTATCAAACATGCTTTTCCAGTGCACTTGGTCTCTTGCCTTCATTTTGATGAGGCATCTTTGCATCTCTTCAGGAATCCTGATCCAGCCCCTCTCAGATGTAGCTGTGTTTTGCAGTGCTGTGCTGTACTTTGAACAGCTCTTCCCAGCCTGGGCACCAGTGCAGCTGGTTCTGGGTAACTTCTTTGGAAGTCCAGTACAAACCAGCACACCTACTTCCAGCCCTTATTTTTTTGGCTACCCCACAGAGAACAAGCTTTTGTGGCTTCTAAATTCACAGGAGACCAGAAATAGATGTGCAGTTTCATGGGAGAGCTCACCAGGGCCGTGGAAAGTGATACCATCACTTCCCCCTCTCTGCTGGAACCACACCAGATTATGTATCTGCTGCCTCTATTTAGCAGTCATGTGGTGAGCAACATGAAATGAGCTTGCTGGTGCTCAGTTCAAGGTCTCCAAAAGAGCAGAAACCCTGGAATTTCATTTGGCTGCCCCAGATAAGCTCTGCAAACTGGTGGCAAATCAATGGGGCCTGGACCAGTCCCTGTTCACAAACCAGTCACATCCAACAGGAGTCTCCTGCTGTGGATGCAGCAAGGAAGCTGAGCTGGTTTTTGACATTTTCAGAGTTGACATTTTTATCTTGAATTGGCCAAAATAAAAAGACAATTGTTCTGGAAACAGATAATCCAGCAGAGAATTCCTGTAACTATTTGCTATTCACACGGTCACACTGGGTTAAACAGTGGAAAAGTAGCAGTAGAAAACAGCAGAGTGGAAGAGAGATATTTTCATGGAGACGGTTGCTTCTGGTCAAAGAGAATCCAGATTTGTGCTCACCGGAGGAAGAATGAACAAAACCTGCAATCAGAAAGCCTCACTCACAGAGAATTTTCGGATACTGTAAGGCACCATTTTCTTAAACACAAATTAGAGGAGAGAAAAAGAAGGCACATTTATGAACGGAGAGACCTGCAGGCTTATCTGCCTGTTAAGAAGCAGATAAGCACACAAGGAGCCACATTTTATTGGTATTTGCATGGAAGATTTCCAATAAATAAATTCAAAAAAGAAAATACAGTAACCCACCCTACCAGTTTCTACCACGAAAGGAGGGTCCCTCACTGCAGTCCTGAACTGCTGCACCAGGATGGCACTGACGGGCTCTGAATCAGCGCCCCCAGCCCTTGATCTCCCATCCTCTCCACTAGGTACAAAATAAAGATGTCTGTTCTGCTCATCTGAAGCACCTTACATCTTCACCCAGCACCGTGCTCCTGCCTGCCTGTCCTTGGTTAGGTGTTAATACGAATGCTTCATACACAGGCTCTTCTAAACCTCCTTTCCCCTGAAGATAAACTGCAAGATTATGTCCTTGCCTTCCCTTCTCTCTCCTGATGCTGACTGAACCTGCACAGTCCTGATGAGAGCCACCCTTTCCTTTTCAGCTTTCCAGGAACTCACCCGTGCAAAGTTTCCATGTAAAGCCTGCTCTGGTGGACAGGCACCATCGCAGAGCCGAGAGACTCCCAATACCGTGGTTTCAGGCCATCACATGATGCTCTTTTTCGGGCTGTCTAGACTAAACTGTGGCTGTGAGTGGGCAATGCTGATGCCTGAATTTTCAGCCCATGAGAGAAATGCCCATCCCTGGTGGGTTGCTCAATACGCAGGATGAAAAAGAGATGCCAAGTTCCTGTGCTCGTTCTTTCCAGTGGAGCAAGGAGGGGGAAAAGCAAGCTGCTCTTCAGCAAGAGCCCTCTTCACTCTTCTCCAGACTCCTCTCTCACCCCTTCTCTGCTCAACACACATGGAGAAGCTCCTGCACTTCATCTTCTTGGTCTTCTTCTCAGGTAAGAAAGCGTGCATGGCCTTGGGTTTCGTTAACAGATAGGGTCAAGGATTGGTGCAGAACTTGGTCTCTACCTGCACCTCGGATGCGATTACTGATAATGCTCCTGGAAATGACTGCACAGGTATCAAAACACAGTGGCTTTTTCTGGATGCAAAGGCATCTTTGTTGTAGCATGCAGTTCTTTGGAAGACCAATACAAAGAGTTATTATGGATAAAGAGTCTTCCTGCCTGTCTGAGCACTGCAAGGTCCAATGCAATGCAAGCAGAGAGACCCTGGAGCACTGCAGTGTGTTCTGCATTCGACTCGTCCTCCATAATTATATTGCAGGGATGTCAGACTCCTTCCTCAGAGCTTGTTTTTTCCCTTAATTTCACAAAGGGCTGATGGTGACCCTTTGCTCACAGGGATCCTTTTGAGTCAGCACAGGAAAGACTGGGGACAGAAATCTTGTGTGCCTTCTCAGAGCGAAATGTGAAATTGCAAAATCCAATTTGTTTGCATGTGTAGGGCGTTCAATGTCAATTGCAGCATCTGGGGCTCAAGAGGAGGAAAAGAAAACTCCCTGAGGAGGTCATCTCTGATATCTTGGCCGTTGACTTGACTATTTTCAGCTTGGAAAGCAAGGTTCATCTGAAATGAGAATCAAGGCACAGGACCAGGTGGTGGTCCCAGCTGGCAGCCTTCTCTCCAGCCACACTTTTACTCATTGCAGCAGTGCACAGAAGGGAGACAGGTTCAGGCTTTGGGAGCATGGAAATTTGTCTTGAAAACCTGAATGAGTTTGGAAAAAAGTCCATTATACTGTTTTCAGTAGCACACAACAAGGGAGGAGGAACACAAACAGTACATGATCTGTCAGCAGAACTGGTTGCAAAGATAATGACACAAAGTTTTCCACAGGGGCATCAGCAAATCTTTAAATGCCATCACTCTGATCAAGAGATTCTTTGCGATGCTATTTAAAACAAAACCAAGAAACAAACCCTTGGGGCCACTCCAGGAGCTGAAAGTGAGGAGGGGTCCACAAGAGAAATAGGAGAGGGAGTTAAAATGCTTTGAGGCATTGCACAGGACTGGACTGGGCGTGCAGTGAGGGAAGCCTTGACTGGAATAACTGAGGGGAGCAACACATGAGGATAAAGTTTTGTAGGTGTTGGAGAGCACATGCACATTTTTACGCCTTCTTCCAGTCAAGGCTGAAAGACCTTCGGATTTTTTAGTTTACAATTCACTTAGAATGACTGAAATGATTTTAAGTAATGTTATTAAAAGGCTCATCCAGCACAAAGCCCTCACAGGAGCCTATTTTTTAAATTACTTCTGTTTTATAACGTCTTACGGTTTTGCAAAAGTCACTAGAAGTGCAGAGATTTCTACCAATGCCACACACACACTGTACTTCTCTCTGGAAGTATTAATAGCTCAGACTGGCCCTTCTGCCTTTGCCTACTGTAAAGAGGAATGGAAATTAGAAATAAGGAACTAAGGCAAAAAAAGAATAAGTCAAGTAGCCAAAGATCACTTGGCAACGTGATTAAAATTAGCAGGATATTAAAAGATAGAGTGAAAAAACATATTGCTAAACCCCTGGATTTAGAAATTAGGAGTGGGATTAAGAAGTAACCTTCCAAGCAGGAAGCTAGACGCTGGTTTGTAGGTGTCACTAGCATTTTCCAGGGCTGTATTGCTTCTCTCTGGCTGTGCAAAGAGCCTTAAACTCTAAGGGGATAAACTTCATGGGTGTGCACTGCAAAGGATCTTTTCTGCTGCAGCGGGGACTCCAAAGCCCAATTTGCATCCATGAACGTACATGGAAGGGCTGAGCCTTGCTGCAGCTGTGTATGCAAGTCTGCAGGTCGGATGTTGCAAAGCAGGGGCGTTACAGCAAGAGCAGCTTGACCAGAGTGACACAGAAGCAATTTGTCATCCTTGGGTCAAGCTACATGTTCATAATCTGCCGTGGAAAAAGAGCTTTTAAAAATCAAGGCAGCTCAACTGATGCCAACTCACTTTACCTGAATGCGCAGCTCCGTGCTCCTCAGGACCGGAGGAAAGCACAGGTTTCTATTTAATCCCTTATGCATGCAGACAAACTGCTTCCCCTTTCTGGGCAGGAGCCCAATGATTGCAGAAAGTGTGGGGTGGCTGGGCTCCAGACTGCAATCCAGAGCAGTCACCACAGGGCCAGAAGGGACGGCAAGGACCAAAACACCCTGAGCTTCAGAAAATCTGTAAATAGGAATGAAGCTGATGCCTCTTTTAGTCCCCACCACAAGAATTGATGCCTGGCTAAAGCCGGTAACTACCAGTCAGGAGCCCTACAGACATATTTCAAGGAAGTCTGGACCTAGGCAGAAGCAGACAGGTCACAGCCACACAGCCAACAGCAGCCACCACTATGGTTGTAAAAGAGCCAACTGGCCCTTAGATAAAGGCAGTGGTAAGGGGTAGATGTGAGACAGCCTTGGCTCACCACTTCTTCCTTCTCTCGTAGCATCCTGTGCCACAGAGAACATCACTGTGGTGTACGGGATGGAGGGGGGCACCATTTCTGTCAACTGCACCTACAACCCCTGGCAGCAGCGGTGGAGAGAGAAGAGCTGGTGCAAGCAGATCGACGAGACCAAGTGCCAACACGTGGTGAGCGCCCGCCGCTTCTGGCTGCCGTTCCTAAAGAACAGGAATGGCAGCACCTCCATAAGCGACAACGTCCATGACGGGGTCCTGACGGTGACCATGAAGCAGCTCAAGAAGCAGGATGCTGGGTTGTACCAGTGCCAAACTGAGTACCTGGGGGAAATGAACAGCTTGAGGAAGGTGCGAGTGGAAGTGCTGACAGGTACGTCCTGGGGCTCCGAGTTTCAAGAGTTCCTGAGTTCCTACTGATATTTCACAGGTGTCTGCAGATGCCAAGACCTCCCTTTAGTAAACATCTCCTTTTGTTTTACTGTGTTTCATTGCCTCTTGTTAGTCCCTAATTTACAGCAGCATGACCTGTGTTACAGGACTTCTAAGATGTTATTGCTACCCAGATTAACCCAGTGCCCAGCCTCACCTTGGTTATCTCTGCCCAGCTGGGACATTGGGGTTGGTGACACCAATAAATGTCACCCAGAAACACCTGCAGACTGAACTGTTCTGTTTCTGTCATCAGCTGTCCTGGAGACCCAGATGCCAGAGGACCCCAGAGCTGTGCAGAGCATCTCCAGGTAAGCCCTAAAACCCCTCCTGCTGGAATCTCTCGTCTTCCTAGGACTAAGCTAGATGAGTATTGGCAACCCCATTTGAAGCCGAGAGGAAAACCACCACAGGCATATTCACTACCTCTTCCTAATCCACGACAATTCTCAGAGCTGCTGTGTGGTTTCTAAACAGCAGCTTTAGCCTAATCCGGAAAATGCAGTGCTTCAGTGCCAAACAAAATAACTCCTGCAGATCATAATTTATCTGTATGTGAGATCTTGCAGTTAAAACCTATCATAGTTGTTCTAAACTCCCAGTCTCTGCTGTGCACAGGCAGGGAGGGCCTGTTGCAGGAGATGTTACCATCTTCACATCATATACTACAAGAGTTTCCTTAAAGGTTAAACCATCCTTTTCATGGCTAAGCTTTACTCTTGTATTTATGGCTCCCCATAGCATCCCTGCTGAAGCTGATTTCACTGCCTTCTCCATCATCGCTGGGTTCCTGGTTACGAAGTTCATGGTGGCTGTGCTGATCTTTATCATTGCCAACTGTAGGAAGAACAGAGAAGCAGAGCAGAAGAACCCAAACTGGAATGAGCATCAGGTCCTCCCTTTTGCTGGTGACTTTGCACGTGATGGCCACAGCCCCTCCTGGGAGAGCACTGCTTAGGGCTAATCCAAAGGGGATCATGAAATGAACACCGAGCATTTGCAGGCAAAACTTTCCCCCCTGCCGTAAGAAAAGGATCGCCCACTAAATGCAGGTACTGAGGAACCTGCCACTCTAGAGAGGGAATGTCACCATCCACCACCTCTTCTCATGGGCACTGACCACATTTTTCCAACACAACTGAACTGAAAAGAACTGTAACACCTGAACCTAATGGAAGAGGATGGGACTGAGGGCCAGGGGAAAGGAGGAATATGAAGTTTTTTTGTCAAAAGATCCAGCATAGACTTATCTGTGTGCAGAGATGCTTCCTGAGGCATGGCAAAGGCAAGAAAGCTCTGCTGTTTTCCCTCAGCTCATTGTTAGGCCAGGAAAGTCCTTGCTGCTCCATACAGCTACTGGCAAATGCTTTGTTCTACAAAAACTACAGACACACCAGTGAACAGAAATAGTTCAGGTAACACATCTCAGTGACCATGAGCAACTCAAACACATCCACAATGTCAAAATGGAAAGACATCGTTCTGTCTCAAATCTATCAACTTCTCCTGATTCACTGAAGATCAGTCCTAAAGAACTAATGGCTTTTTTCATGGTGTCCTACATGTCTCTACACAATGCACGAAATATAACCAGAACTGGATGGTTTGCATTGAAAGCTAATATTGTTGTTTGTCTAGAAATCAGCTTTTTAACTGAGATTCTCTTCTCTAAACTGAAGCTTTTGACGTGCTTTTGGCAATGCAATGCTGTGCTATCACCTCCAGTCACTGCCAGGAGCTGCACCACACCACCAGGCAGTTATTCCCGATACTCATCCCCAGTGTCATTGCACCAGGGTCTGAACTGAGCCCCATCAACTTCATCTCATCCCACAGCAGCACCAGGTGAGAGCTTCTGCCTTTCCAAGGTGGTGCAGAGCACCTTCCAGAGATGCCCTTGGACAGTGTGGATCCACGGTGAGCAGTCACTGTGGAGAGGCAGAACATAACAGAAAGGGATGTGAAGTCTACACACAGCTCTGAGCCTGCTTCCTCATTTCTCAGATGATTTTGCAAAGAATGAACTGTATTTCTCTGTACTTTTCCCCATGTTTTTTCTGCCCTTTCAAGGGGATGTTACCTGTTCATCACTCCCCAAAGTGAAGCCATGTTTAGCTCTCCCAGGAAGGCCCCAAGGGCATTCACACTTCTTTTCTCTGCACTGTCTGCAAAGCTAAATAAAATCCATGGTTATCTGACTTGGTGTGGATTCATGGTAAAGAGCTGCAGTACATCAGATCACAACGCAGCACCCAGAGAAGAGGTGGCACTCAGAACATGCTGGTGGCTTTCTAATGTACAGAGATGCTCTGAGCCGGCTGGGCAGGTTGGCACATCCAGCAGCTCTGTTTAGCACCACAAAGAAATGGCTCAGATCCCAAAACCAGATCAGCCCGTGCATGGTTGTGCTCTGCCTAAATGAATTTCCTCTATTTCCAGAAGGTAAATTAGCCCATCCACAGTCACACACCACCGCAGCTTCTTCTCCTAGCTTCAGTATTACCAGACATTTCTGTGATGCTCGTGCTGTAAAACAAGGGAATCAGGTCTAACCAGGAGATCTGGGTCCCAATTCCAGCTCCAACCTGTCGAGAGCCCTCAGGCAGGGCCATCCACTGCCCCTGTGATGCCAGGGGGGGCAGTCCTGGTTCTCCACCTCTGCATGAGGGCTTTGGGAACCAGGGATGTAAAACCTGCATGTAAGTGCAGAGCAGCAGTAAGGACAAGCACGTCCAGCTGAAAGCTGCTCTGTCATAGATCACAGCAGCGCACAATGAAAATGCTCATTTTGTTTCCAGCCGCACAGCCCAACTGCTAAATATGGCCATCTAGACAACAATATATTCCAAGCATAAAAGCAGCCAGTAAACACGATGCAGCCTTCCCACCCCAGAAAGAATATTAAGGTGGTGCTTAAAAGATATTCTCAGCAATTCCAAGCTGGCATCGTCACTGCAGGCAGCAGATGACTGCCGAGGACAGAGCAAGTTAACTTCCTCTGCAACAGAGCATTTCTCAGTGATAAAGCAGCCCTGGGGTGCATTTCTTTCCTGCGTGCCCTAAGCCACTTTCTGTTTCAGGAGGGGGTGTTTCCAGCCCTGCTGCTCCTGCTGGCGCTACCAGGTAAGGCTCAGAGGCTCTTTGTCTCTCCTAGGAACAGGATGCTCTGTGCTGTTGCATGCATTGCACACTGTTATTTGCTTGAGCGCTTTTTATTCAGGCCATCTATAGCCAGGAACAGAATGAGACTCCCAGAAATCAATGAGGTGAGGAAACGTTCAGCCTGAAATTTGCTTATTTGAATTATACAAAGCCTTGGGTTCTCATTTTTGCTTATAGCAGTTCTGTATTTCACCCAGAAAGTGAACTTCATGGTGGGATGTTTGGCAGCCTCTGCCCTTCTGACAACTTTCTCGCTTGCTATTGGGAAGTTCGCAGTCTGAAATCATGCAGGATGTGGGGAGGAAAACCTGCATTTGTTGCTCTCACCCAATACGTCACAGATCAGGTACTGCTGTAGGCAGGGTAGCTGCTGTTTGCTTTCTTACTGCAAATAAATACTGAGGCCACAGAGAGGAACAATAGGAACAAAATGGGGAAAGGCTAATGGCACTGAGACTAAACATAGATGTTTATTTAGGCAAACCTGCAGAGTTAAATTACTCTTCTCAGAGGCCCAGCGTGAGATTCCCAGTGGTATAATGTCAGAAAATCTGGCGTATTAAGCTGTGACTGGTTGTAACATCAATTTTCTCCTTTCTTTGGAAGAACTGTGCATGGCAGGAGAGGACACCCAAGTGTTCCTGCACAGAGGGAGAGCCCTTCCGAGCCAGCTGCTCATACGATGTGTGCAGGAATTTACATGAGGGGAAATTCTGGTGCAAGGAGCTGTCAGGAAAACCTTGTTTCACGCGAGGGTGAGCTGTGAGTCAATAGTGCAGAGGGAGACAGCCAAAATCAATCAAGAATGATGTGCCATTTCCATTTCTGTTTCACAGCAAAACACGGGGTATCCAGACACAGAGATCCCACCAGAGGTTATCAGAGGCAGGGTGAAACTCTGTTATGTAGCTCAATACAGAACCATAATATGTACCTACACGTATCTAGAGGCAGAAGTGGCCAGGAAATTATTTTTGCCATATGAAATAAAAAAAAAAGAATCAATATTTTACAGATTACCATCAAAGATCACAAATACAATTTCGAGGGATTGTATTAATCAAAAATAAATGGGTCTGGGACAGAAATAGTTCAAGTAAGTTGATGAAAACTAAAAACCAATACTTTTTCTTGCACAAAATTTTCCACTCATGAAGTGTTTTGCAGGCACAGAAACCTTTTGCACAGAAAAGTTTTGGTAACTCACATAGAAGACTCGAGAGATGGAGCAGCACCACCTTAACCTTGACCACGTCTGTGAGGCGTAAGAAATGTGCTGAGGTGGCTCCACGTCCCAGCACCTGGGGAACCTGACAGCAGAAACAGCCCTGTTATTAGTTTAGGCAACAGAAATCCCACATTTCCCCTTTTCCACCCCAATCCCATCCTCAGTGCCGTCATGCCCCCCCATTCAGGGGCTGGTTTTCTCCCTGTCTCCTCCTTGTGCTGGTGTCAGCTCTGCTCCTCTGCTGGGTGGGATGTACAGCACCATGGGGACTGTTTTGTTCTGTATCTTCTCCCTCTAATGAATCACCACCTTATTTTCTGTACAACTCGTAAGGCTACATGCAAAAATAAAAGGAACTCCCAGTCCCTCTGTTCCTCCTACTCTGGGATAGCCAAATGGGGAAACTTCACCATTTTACTGGGTGCCAAAGGGTGTCCTGAGTGAGATGGCAGCCTGTTACCAGAGGTAACTCTGATCAAAGCATCGTTAAAGTAGGAAGGACTGAAATGATGAACGACTTCTCATGGAAAATGATTAGAGTGTGGCTGAAAATGCTCCGACTTAATGACTCAGGAGAATATAATCTTGGGAGCCATTTCCAGGGCAGAAACAAACTACTGAACAGGAGCACGCTTCAAGTTTGGGGTGAGTTAATGAAAGAATTAATGATCTTCTAAAAGTCAGCAATTTCTTACCTCTCGACAAGAAAGATTCCAGGTCAATGTTACAGAGCTCCCTTTTGAGCCTGGAAATTTCCCGAGACACAGATAATTCCTGGATTTATTTCTTTAGAAGCAGATTTTTGATACATACTAATGGGATAAACAAATTGCAGCCAACAAGGAGGGGGTGTCTACATTTACATCAACAGATGAAATAAACTCCAAGCGATCTGAATCTTTGCCTGAATTTCTACCCAAGTTCATCTCTTTGCCACACCTCATTAATAAGCTTCTGTATTTGTTTTAATGCTTTACTCCCTTTTCTGCTTTTAGCCAGCGATGCAGGCAGAAAACCAGCAGATACTTAGTGGAAGCTAATCTGTGACTGAAAAATGTGTGTGTGGAGGGGGGTCACACAATGGATCTTCCTTCCCAACAGCATTCAAGTGCCCAAAGAAGCAACTCAGTTTTCATATAACTCTCTAAACTGATATGAATTTTCATAGGTTTCCCATAGCTTCCACAAAACTCCTCCTGCAGGAGCTGTCCTTCCTCATTGATCTGTCACAGGAGCCAAACTGGCAAGGAAAGCACAACCCAAGTCTCAAAACCTATGCACATGATACAATGATCATTGAATAAGTAGGTTTTCCATGGCATCGTGCAACCAAGTGTCGTCTGACAGGATACATTATGGTTGTAGATGAACTACGAGTCGTATTCAGAAACAAAAAATGTTCCATTTCTTTCTAACTTCTCATTCTTCGAGGTTTCTCAGAAGCACAGAAAAAGCCAAGTGAGCAGAATGTCAGATGGGGAACTGAATGCTGGTACAAAGTGCAGTGTCAGGAGGCACCAACCTCAGATGAAGCTGCAGATGTCCTATAGGTCAGTGCACGGCCTTCACCAAAAATTCGGCCACGTTCAAGAACCACTCAGCAATTCGGTTTCCTCAGGGCCTGTGGCATGGGTTACTGTTATCTTCAGAGCCACAACTCCGCTTCCTGGAAATTAAAAGGGTAAAGTCATAACAGGGTTCAATATATCCCCTAAACAAAGCAGCACAAAGCCTTGGGTTTACTCGCAGAATTTTGCTGAACTGCACTTAGAAATGATCCGTGTGTCATCAGTGGCTTCAAGGGGATGTGTGTGGGGCAGAACGCACCTGAAAGGAGGCACACACCTTCCCTGAAGAGATAACTGCGCTTTTCTAACAGCACAGCATCGCAATCCAGCTGTTGGTAAGCAAATCTAGTGCAGGCTATGGCATAGCTGCTTTTTCTAAATTGCCTATTTTTAAACCACAGACAACTGTAAACCAAGTACAGGAAACTGTTTCTCTCCGATAGCAGCTGATACGGTGCAGCAGGCAACAGAGGGCTGTGAGGTACAGGAACACAACGCTTCCTTTTAGACCTTCAGCGTCAACAGCTCCCTCAAATACTCATACCCAAAATGTGAATTATCACCCGTTCTGATAAGATCTAAGTCAGCAAAGTGCTAAAGAATCTGCTTTGTTTGAAACAAGAGTTGTCTCATGGAGTTCAGAGAGAGAAGTAATGCACTCGATGTGTTTAGTAAACAAGGGTCTTGTTTGAAAATATTAATCTATGTTATAGTATAAAATGTCTTCAACCTGAACACGAGTGCAAAGTTTACCCAAAGTTATTTCTTTTATTTTTACAAAGAAATCACTTTGTATTTCCTTGCCTTTGGTGCCTGTTGTTTATTAATGTTGCACCCATGCTACGGTTTAAATCGAGCTTGACTTCTTTATAAATGACACACATTTTGATCAAACTACTGAGTCCTGGGATCATGGCCGTGTGTGCAAACAGCTGATGGGATGTAAAGGACAGGAGCTTTTCCCAAGACTGAAGCTGTCAGTCAATACATCCTGTTCCAGTGCCTCCAACATCTCCTCTGTCCTGCAGGAGATCTGGTTCAAACTCACTCCTAATCTAAACACTATCTGCTGAAATAGCGATGTGGTGTTCCTTTGTCTCACTTCAAAAGCAGGAAGCACTGCGAGAACCGTTTTTGTCTCTAAAAGGGAGTAAATGAATATTGGTACAGCTGATGGCTGGGCACCTCCATCTCTTACCTGCTGGTCACTGCAAATAGCTCTTGCCCCAAGTGCATTGTAAACACATAACAGTCACATAATAAATTGTGTATTATACTCTAGAGGTTCTGCTGAGTTCACCATGGCACTGTGCCATTTAAGTGCCTGCCAGCAGCAGTTCTGCAAATTGGGTCAAATTTGCCATAAGCCTAAGCAGCCTTTGGAGCAAAAGGCAGAGCTGAGAAGGACAACACTGTATAAACTGTGTAAACCATCCAGTTCTGCTCCACGTCCTGAAAGACCAACAGAAAGCAAAATGGGAAAGTAAACTGAATTTTGGATATACTACAGTAAACTACAGAGACCAAGACACCTCCTGCTAGACAAAGTGAAGTTGACTCATTCGTACCTTTCCTCTTCCTCTGGAAGTCATTGAAACACACGAATGTTTCTGGAATGAATGAATGAATGTGTCCAACTCTCCCCAAGTACAAAGACTCACCGGGTAGTGTTGTATGAAGGACCTAAAGAAAGAGAAAACTCAGCTTACCAACCCAATCCACTGCACATCAGTTGTACCAAATGTTACTCACTATTAGAATACCTGTTCAACTGCTCTCACCTTCCTACCTGGCTTATCTGCCATGCCTAGCAATGCAAAATATTGATTACCAGAAAGGAAAACCAAGCAAACAAGGAGAAGATTCTGGCAACCGTGACTAGCCCAAGATTAGCAGAGAGGAACTTCTCTCCAAAGTGAGGGATTGCTTTAAATTAGTCTGCTCCTGTTCTTGTTAGGGCACTGGAAAGAATTTCAAATTAAGAATGGAGCAAAAAAGCTGTACAAATCAATATCCGAGTGGCTTAGTAATCAGATAACCTGTTATGTGCTGAGGGCAGTCCCTCCAGGCCTACAGTGCCTGCTTACTCCCTTGGGCCACTGCCCTTCATGCTCCTCTGCATTCAGGAATCTTCAGCTGGGAGGTCCTCGAGGATTTGTTCTGCTCTGTTTGACAACAGCCCCAGCACTGCCGTGTTTCATCGCAATTGCAGAGCTGCCAGCAACGCAGGGACAGAGCCAGGACCTTCCCCAGGACCACAGCAACTGCCAGCCTGCAGGGGCTCTGCAGCGGCTCTGCAGCACAGGCAGCATCCGAGGTAGGAGCCCCAGGTCCTGTGCGTTCAGAAAGGAAAAAGGCACCTTCAGGGGCTATTCCCAAACTGCAAGACCTGTCTGGATGCTCTGGTTCTGCTAAATACAAACTCATCTGGTATTTGCAAGCTGTTTTATGGGTGGTGTAAAGATGGCACGCACAGTTGGTTCATTTGGAAAACACCATTAAGGCATCGACTGCAGGAGAAAGAAACACAATAATGTTTGGGGTAAAACTTGCTTTTATGTTCTGTTTGTTGCCAGCTTGTGAGATTCATGTGTGCTTTCAACCTCTGCACCAATGAGGGCAAAACCAGGCCCCAAAACTGCGGTAGTGACTACTGTTCTTTCAAGAACACAGCATACAGCTACAGACACCTGTGAGATTCAGTGTACCCCTTCTAAAAGAGCACCTATCCAAGAACACAGGAAAAAAAATAGGCATGAACGCAAAGTTTTGCTTTTTTTCCTATGGCTGCTTTTAACCCAAAGTGTTTTGCACGCTGTAAACGTACACAGGAATTGTTTCAGCAATACTAGAACATACAACTGCTTGATACCACACAAAGATTGCCTAACAGCGCGGGACCTCGATAAAAGTATTTACGTTCTGATACGGAATGTTGAAGTTGTAATACTGCTGGGAGATCCTGAGCAGCACCCGTGGAAGGAGCAGCGCGCCTGCGAGGGATTAGCAGGCAGACGTGAAGCTGACTCTCTCTTAAACCTTTCAAAGCCTGCCCAATCCTCTTAAGAAGAAATTTGCCTTTTGTGCCAAGGCACAAGAAATAAGCTCTTTCTAAAGGTGTCCGTTCAGTTGTATGGCAAAAAATAAGATAACAAGATGATACTGGGGAATTTGGGGACAAGAAGAAAACACCTCACTGGAAAGTAACCTATAAAGGAAGGAATGTGTTAGAAAAGCATTTGGGTAATGTGAATCGTCACCTCTCACACTTGTGCCACCCCGTACAGGTTCCATTGCTGGACCCGTGGGACACTCCCTGTGTCTCACGGCAGCTTTTCTGTAGTCCCTGGATTCCTGTCCATGGCCTTTCAGAGATTTTATTCAATGCAATGGACCCTGCAGCAAGCACGCAGAGTGAAACGTCACTGAGGCATGCTGAGCATTGTGCCAACAGGTACAGGAGCTGGTTTGCTATGGAAGGGACTCGGTGTGACTGCTATTACACTCACCTTTTTCCTTACGCTCAAAGGACACAAAAAAGCAACGCTGGTCAGCTCAAAGCTGCCTTCCTTCCCATCCCCAGCTCAGTGAGGCCATTTCCCAACTCCAAGAGGGCCACAGCAGCTTGCCAAGGCTCAGAGCTGGGAGGCAAGGCCTCCTTCCATCCTTCTTGAAGACAACCCAGCTCCTGCACATAAAGCACCCCACAGCCGCCATCCAGGGCGCTACCCTCAGGACTTGAGGGAGCACAGCAGGGCAAGATGGCTGGCAGGGAGAGCAGCCAATCAGAGATGCTCCAGAGCAACACTTGTCCAATGAGCAGGACATACTGGCTTCCCTCAGCCAATCAGTTTGCAGCACTTAGCAGCAGCCCCGCCTCAATGCTGTCCCCTCAGGCAGCAAGATGGCGGGCTGGGGACAGAGGGGAAGGTGAACACCAAGATGTCTGGGCCTTTCACACAGGGCAGAAGAGCGGCAGGCGCCCCAAACCACTGCCCATGGTGGCCTTGCCTTTCTCCTCCCTGCCTTCATGCCCAGGCATTTCTCAGCTAAACCTGCCGCCTGCCCTCACCACTCCGTGTCACAGCTGCCACTGGGTTATAAAGAGCAAAAGGTCTGAAAACCAGAACCGAAGCTTGTTCTCGGTTTATAAATTTTTTATTAGCTGGATAGTGTACACAGTACTTACAATTGCATCTATTAAAGACCAAAATACACTTGAAAAAATGCATCATATAAAAAAAATTATAAACTTTTAACTATGTACAAACTTTGCCTTACATGACATGAATCTCAGGACCCTCCCACACCCATTCACAAAGATTTCCTTCCCACCCCCCTTCCCACCCCTTTAACATGCAAGGCCTTAAAGCATCACTTGAGGACCCTTTTCCACATCCCATTCTTTACACTAATAAACTGGTTTGTGATCGGTTCGCCGCTCCAGTGCTCTCTGGGTCAACAGCTCCCAGGCCTCTTCTTTTATCCTCACCCGCTCTGCTATGCACTCCAAAAGTGGAGTTTTTGCTCAAGTGTAGCCAATCCACAGAGAATTCTCATTGAATTACTCGAGAGGTTTGAACTTGATGGCATCTCCAATTGAAGACATTTACCCAGGAAAAGCAAGCAGACTTATTTTGGTAACATGATGTTGACCGACAACTCCAATCTCACCAAGCAAACCCTACTTTGAGAAGTGATACCCATAAACCCAAAGCAAATGAAAAATATGACAGTAGCGCTCAGGCTTTCACATCACTATTTAAAGTATTAACAAGAAGACTTTCTATATAACACAAATCCCTAGGTCTTCATACACATTCTACAACAACGGATCAGAGAACCTAGATATGAAGGGCTTACTGGGAATAAAAGTTGTAGCTGTTTTAAAGAAGTTTAAGAAAAGAAGTCATTACTCACAAAAAAACCTCCTATGTCAGAGCAATAATCTTGTTTCCCCAACATCCAACCCTCAGAGGGGGTTCTCCAGGACAGAGATCAACCGGCAGCTGAAGAGCAGAAACGTTATGGAGAGGCTCTCTTAGTCCAGCACATGAATACTCCACTGCCAAAACCTACAGATGGTCTAAAAAATATTTACAATAAAAAGGGTTTTTGTTGTTCCTTCACTAAAAGAGACCTACATGGATGGCCCCACAAGAAATGTTAGTGAAGAATGTAAGCACCATGCTCTGTTGGCCAAGTATTTTAAGGCGGGAGCAACCAAAGGCACCAAAGATGCCATCGATGCAATGGAGTAAACAGATGCCTTTGGAATCATTAGGAAAAGAAATCCTAATGTGAGATTTGTGAGCAGAGTGTTACATCACTCTTATAAGACAAAAATGCAAAGAAGATCTGTTTGCACATCAAGAACTAGGCCACCTCCTCCCGTAGCTGCAGGTGTCACTGTGTGTCAGTGGTTCCTCAGCTTCACTTCACCACCTCCGCTGTGGTAAGAACATGAACTTAAAATTCAGGAAAATGAACTCAACTCCATTGAGAAAACCCTGCTGCCTACTACAGATACCAAACCTGCATGTCTTTGTTCTTTCACTGGCCACGTACCTCCAAATGGCAGACCCAGACACCCTTGATATCCAGCCAGCCAAGCTCTTCCTCCAAGCTTGTCTGCTGGCAATGCAGCACCTGACATTTCTGCTCCCTCCTCTTGCATTCCTTCCCAGCTTCTCATACTCTTAGGTCTAGGATTTTTCTCTTTTATCCAAAGTAAACAGAATTTCCAAGGCTCTGTCTTTGTGTCCTCCCACTCTTCTACACCTTGCTAATTTGTCCTAAGCTTCCACTAAATAGGAAAGATACGGGAAGGAGGTAACATGGGTTGTATTTTTCAAGTCGCATTTACTTTTTTTGTGGCTTGAAACCAGAGTTCACTGAATTTAAACCAGTCTCTCCCATCCTTGGATGCTTTCCTCAAAAACACCTCACCCTCTGGTACTATCCCTTTCCCTACTCAGGTTCAGTCACCTCCCTCAATGACAACGCCTGGCTTTACTTCCACAGCGTAAATGACGATGTTGTACAGAATACAACATTTAGAAGAGATGGAAATACAGCATGCAGGTGACACACAAGAGAGCCTGCAACACTTCAGATGGGAGATGGGCACGGAAAGATGCGAGTATCACTGTTAAAATGCTTACGAACTGCAGCTTCCATCAACAAATTTCAAATGATTATAATGGAGCAAGCTTAAAATCTGTAATGAGCTACGGAATTAAATTTGAAGATATGTTTTGTCAAGATCCTCAGCCAAAAGCCAGTTCTGTCATGAAAAAACCCCTTTCTAACAACGTAAGTAGTCCTCCATTAAGTGCCACTGTTTTGTTTTTTTACATTATTATTCTTTATTTAAAGAGGATCGGCTCTAAAAAGCCTGCAAGGTTCATCAATCTCTGCCTTCCCCTGTTTAACAGCCCTTCAGCTGCATCAGGAGGCGCTGAGCTGAGCTGCCCTGTGCTTCTGCTGTCCCAAAACACCACCTGGCTGTGCAGAATGAGAATTGTGGCAATGATTCAGAGCAGACATCAAGAAACACCATCACAGAACGGGCAAGTGCTACCACTCAGACTGTGGATGTTATGTCTTTTGGAGGAACCGTGCACTGGGCTGGCAGGTTAGAAGGAAGATTAAAACAAAATAAATCCTTTGGAAGAGACTCCCTTGGAAGTTTTTAGCCTTTTTGTACTAGTGTCCACTTTTCTTCCAAAGCACCAACTACTGGCATTAAACATACCAAAAACCACCAAGAGATTGCTTTTCCTCATTAAATCCCTATCTCCACGTCACCCTCTCCCCTCTTACTTCTTGGAACGGATACACAAGATAGCAAGTCCTGTAAGCATCTTGAAATATTTCTCTCATCGTGACTGGATGGGTGAACTTTCCCCAGAGAAATGCTTGCTGTTTATGTATTTACAAGGTGGAAATTAAAAGAACCCCTTTCTGTTTCTGCCAGTTTTATAAGTGCAGATGCAACAGCAGGGAACAGCTCAGTTGCCAATGAAGTCCAAAGGTGTTGAGGAGTTGTAAAGAACAAGGCTTTGCTGGGAAAACACATTCCTGTGGTGTAGCCACGTCAGTGCTGGTTGCTATAAACTGGGTTGTGTCTCTGGACAGAGGGGCCATCACTCCAATAGGTCTTTGCTGGCCCTGCTTCAGCATATGCCAGAGTTATTGCTGTCAGTGGCACACTCACCCATGGCAAATCTTAATGCAAGAGATGTTTAAAAGAACAGAAAAAGAAGAAAAAGGCATGAGCAGTCAGACTCCAAAATCCCTGCGCTGGATCAGAGGAGCGTATCAAGAAAGTCGTTAAGTTCCTATGCATTGAGTCAGCTGCAGTTAAAACCTTTCCCACAAACTGAAAACGTGGTGCTTGTTCTGTAGAAAAGGACAGGCTGTGACATGGCGATCATCCCCTTGACAGGCTCGCTTGATACACTGGGAAGGTGGGTCAGACTTGCAGAAGGGACGGGATATTCAGGTATTGTTTTCATTAGCAGTGGTTAGGAGACTCTGATCATCTGTGTCATTGCTTCTTCATTGGCCTGAGATGGATCCTACAGACACAAAACACACATCGTGTTGTAACTTCAGTATTTCTCCATAACAGCAGAGAGTCCTGCACGGCTCTGTCAAGAGGAGATGCTCCTGCTCCTTCCTTCATCTCTAAACGTGTTGTATTATTCCTGGGTTTTGTAGCCCAGTGTAAGGGAAGGGGATATAGAAATCCTAACAGTTCCTAGTAATGTCTTGTTTCCAGTAGTAGGGAAGACTTAATACTCATCTACTATTTGGGAAGGATTCCACTTGAGAGTAAGAAATACTCTTCTGCTAAAGCCACAGGACTGCTTTAAAACATTAATCAACAGCAGCATTTGCTCATTCTACTCTATTGTGTCCCTTCCTTTGAAAACCTTTCTTGCACTTTTAATGTAAATCAATATGCAGCTAAGAATCAGATAGTCCCATTTTTTAATTTTCCAGCAGATGTAAGATAAGCTTGTCTTGATCTTGAATTCATGTCCTAAAAAACCACTTCTGGCATGCAACCAGAAAGGCTGCAAAGGCTGTATTTCTTAGGACAAACAAATACAAGCATTCCCTGTTTGTAAAACAAAGTCAATATATATTTATATAACTATCAATATTGTTATAATTTAATTACTCAGGGCAAACAGACACTTGCTCTCCACAAGAAGTGAGACAGAAGGTTTCTTTACAATGCCTGAAATTCAAAGGCAGAGAGGTGTGACGGTCAGCAGCCTAGCCCAAAAAACCAAATAAAACAGCACAGACACCTCTCAGGTGCAGTCTGAAGAACTGAAAGCAGCAGTTGTCCAAAAACCAGACAAACTTCTACTTACCTGCATGTGAGGGCTGTCTTTTTCCTTTGGTGAGAAGAAACGTCCACCTTCTCCCCGCTTCCTGGCCATGGCATGGCGATGCCGAGATTCATGCAGGTATTTCTGCAACGACATCCAGGAAGTAATGAGAGCTCCTATTTCCAGTTCTCTACTTTGAGTAAGGGAAACTCCTGACCGCCAGTCCCCATCCTCCCTCCTTCCCCACAGAGAAAGCGTTTCTAGGAAGTGCCCATTTGCAATCCAGTTACGGACACATTCAGCAATTAAAAGCACACAGAAAGGAAGCAGAACTGCTTCCAACGGACTTAAAACAATCATGTAGCTTATAAACTCAAAGAGTAACCCTGTATCAGATCCCAGTTGTATTCTCACCCTTCTTTCTTTAGGAATTTTCCCCTCCGCTTCAAGCTTAGCCCGTGCCTGCCTCCTCTTCAGGATGCGGTGATACTGCTTGGCGTTTACATAGAGGGGCTCTTCTTCCAGCATCTCTGCTCCAGGCAGAGGTATTCTCTGGATGGCAGGTACTGACCCAGCTCCAGGCACCATCTGTACAGAGAAGAGTCTGGTTTTAGTACTTGGAGCTCAGAGCACAAAGTGAATGCAAAAAAAAAGCAATTAAAAATGTATTAAAATGGAAAGCGTTTGGGTTTTGTTCAGATAACGCACCTACTTAAGCTGAAAGAAGCAATAAAGTTGTTCTCAAACTGTAGAACAAATTTAAACAAATCAATTACGTATCGGTTGTGCTTGGTTTTTTTCTGATGGTGATAAAATAGCAATGCAATATGTAATTCTATGGCCATGTTGGTGCTTGTTATACAATTAAGCATACAGGACATGCCCGTTGCTTCCCTTTCCTTGTGGTTATCACTTATTTAATTTATATGGTAATTTCAGAGCAGATATTACTTGTAGAGCTACTGACATCTAGTGGGGACGAACAATAAAACTCAAGTTAAAAAGCATCAAAGAAAGATGTACAAAGAAATAAGAACTGGCAGAAAAAGCCCTCTGAGGAATCAGAGGAACAAATACTAAGAGATCCTCAAGAAAAGCGATGGTTGATTCAATCTTTTTAAACCTCTGCTTATCAGTTAACAGCTTATTTCGAACTGCAGTTTCTAGATTTCTGAACTCAATCTGCTCTGGGAGAAAGCAAGTACAGAATACAGAGACTGCAATAGGACGCAGGCCATCAAAATGGGAAATTTATCTTGTTTAAACCAATGGTAGCTACTGAGAAGACCAACCATGTTAAGGTGACGTGAATCTCATACAACAGTTTGTGTACAGACACCTTAAACCTCACCCTTTAAAATACCAATGTGTTAAATACCAGTGTTAAATATCAGTGTTAAATACACACCATGACCATTCCTCCTGAATTGACGACGTTTCCAGCAACCGGCAGCGTCACGGTGACGGTCCCTTGGCCACTGCTGGTTGTGTTGGTGTTGGCTCCCGTTTGGACGATCTGTGCTCCAGCCAGGCTGGCTGCTGGAATGGTGATCATGCCTGTAACAGGGACTGTAACTTTAAGAAAATAAAACACAAACGAAAACAAAAACCAAAACAAAAAACCAAACCAAAAACACGCACACAGAAAGAAGGGAACACCATTAGTCCCACTTCTGGTTTTTACTCACTCATCCTTCCATGTCATGCAAAATGATTCAGAAAAGCACTGCGAGTTATTAACAAAATTCCTTCACCTCATTCTCATACCTCCTAATTTTACATTTGTGTCTGCACAGTAATCCCAGTGTCAGATAAGAGGTCACGTACTGCAACGAGTAAAAGCAAACTGAAGCGTTTCTGTCCCAACAGCCCTTGCCAAAGAGCCATTTTTTATTTTCCTGGTAAAGAACCGCAGGCTGAATTCGTGTATAACAACATGAACCTCTCTTCTTCCATTCCCTACGCCAGCAATCCGTATCACAGCACTACGAGCGTCGCAACCGGATGTTTTCTTTCCCAATAATCCCAATAAAAACCCATAAAGAGATGCAGAGAAGTCCCAACTCTTCACACCAAAGCTCCTACCTTGCTGCAGAATGGTGCCATCAGCATTAACCGGCTGATAGACTATGGTCTGCCCTTCGGCTGCTTGTGCTACCTGCTGCCCTTGAACTGCTATTTGCTGCTGGGTCTAAAGAAAACAAAGAACAAGGTAACTTCACAAATTGCTTCTTTTTCAACCACTACAATTCCTGAATTAACACACGGCGCTTAAGGTGTCTCAGGCATCTATTTCTTTTGCTATATTAGCAGCATCAAGAAATAGGATGGAGCACAAACCATCTGTAGATAACATACCCAAGGCATGTATTTTTAACAGCAATTCAATATTTAATATTGAAAGAAATAAATTCTGGGTTTCCTTTCTCACTATGAATATGTTAAAGGAAGAACTAATCTGCTTAGAAATTTAATTATGGTCCTAAGCAAAAGAATCAGCAGAAACCCCAGGTATGACTGGACTACTTCACACAATGGCCCAAGTATGGAATTAGCAATACTTCACGTTTTCAAACGTCAACAAATAGACAACAACCATGGACCAATAAAATACAGAAACACAATGGATAAAAACATGCAATCTATTTCTTCTGCCCCAGAGTTATGCATGAAAACACTACAAAAACATGACATTTATTCTCAAGTTCTCCTCAACATTAATTCCTCTCTTTTATTTTTTCCCCCTTTTTTAACTTAACCACACCTTAAACCATTTGTCACGTTTCTCTTCCTGTTTCTCTCAAGAAAAGCCTTTCATGCTGGTGCAGTTACCTGTGTCTGGCCAGCAGTAACTGCAGTCTGGGGCTGCTGTATAATGATCTGCTGGGTCTGGCCCTGCTGCCCCTGTACCTGCACAGCCTGCCCACCTTGAATCTGAATCTGACCTGGCTGGACCAACTGAATCTGTGGAAGAAAGAGTCAGAAAGGAACATTAACTATGCCTCTGATTTCTCCCTCCTTGGCCTCAGCATTACCAAACCATCTCTGAGGATGATTTACTGTTGCAACCAAAAAGCAAGCACCGATTCTTCTCTTTTTCCGCTTTAAAATGAAGAGATTTCATTTACTCCTCCCTGTGACACAGCAGTCACAACCATGCAGAGCAGAGGAAACGAAACATGCTAGTGCCTCCACTGCTTGCACAATAAAACGGTCAAAATAATTACATTACAAACATGAAACTGGGAATAATAATAATGTTCAGGTGAAAGAAAAAAAGAGGACCAAGATTTACGGTATCTGTACAGTGTTAATTATCTGGCATCCAAAGCAATCCTAGATACATATCAAAGTTGTTCTCAGCTTTGTAGAGAAGCTTTTCCACCAATGCAGAGCATTTCTTAGATTGAAAAGAGAAACTGCAATACGGTTTGAAGCTTGCTCTTTAAAAATCGGGTTATGGATTGTCCTCCAACAACCGACTGTAAAAACCTAACACAAAATGCGTTGTCTCCCAACAGAAGACATTTGAAATAAGCACTACATAAACCTCTCAGAACACCAAGACATCGAGTGCCTTCCTGGACTGCGCTGAACTTGGTTTTGAAACCCCATTCTCAAATCACTACAACACTTCCATTATGCCACCGTTACAGTTCTTCCCTTTGCTTTTAAGGAACACACTTTGAGCACCTGTTTTTAAAGTTTAAAAACTCTTTTAAACCAATATTTCAAAATAATTAAAAGCCCTCTTTCTGTACCTTCTACAGCATCACGTTCTGAGCAATGCAAATGTTTTAATTCACCTCCAGCCATCACACATTAACTCAAGCACAAGTTATTTTCAAGAAGCTTTCTTAAAAACATTTTTAAAATCCTTTTTCTGAGACACAAATTGAGTAGGTATCAGATCAGCGCCTGCACTGCAAGGGCCAGTTATAATAAAAATAAGAAAAAAACCCAAATCAACTCCAGCTGTATTTTAATGGTCTTCATTTAAAAGGTTTGCACCACCCCATAAAATACAAAAATTAAAGAGAAGAAGAATTTTCAGTGCATTTTTAACAGGCAGCTCACTGTCGCTGGAGAACAACCGCCTTTGCCCAGATTATTTGAAGAGTGCTGAGGCAAACGTGCTCTGGGCAAGGCGAGAACACCACAGCTCATCCTCTGCAATTTATCGTCAATAAAATTGGGGTTTTCTCACCTGCTGCAGCCCCTGCGTGCCAGAAACCGGGACCTGCATGATGGTCTGGCCCTGGCCCCCAGGCACAGCCTGCACCATGATGGGCTGCCCCGTGGAGGTGATCAGCTGCCCCCCGCTCACTTGCACCATCAGCGGCTGGCCCTGGACCTGGGAACGGGACAAAACCAGACAGGACAATGAAAAAACTGCTGACGCGAAGCCAGGAACCGAAGTGGCAGCCACGTGAGGCCAAACGCTTACCTATTTAATGTGGTGAAAATACCAGAGAAACTGAGCAATGCTAACCTGGGTGCATCATCAGCATCAAACATCTTCAGTTTCTCAAACTTTTTCTGTAATGTGTGACTGGATTTGGTAAATTGTCTTTTTTCTGTTACAGTCTAACCAAAACTTCCACGGCTTACTGCAACAGAGCATGAAAAGCACGGCTAAATTTTCCAGACACAATAACTATCTTCATGGGCAGCCCAAGAGCAACGTGGAATAGAAGAAACTTCATTATCCACATCACTATTACTCATCTTTAATTGGGGTTCCTAATGAGAAAGCTCTAAATAAGCTCTTCTGGCAGAGGGATTCTGCCGTAGCTTCAGCTCTCTCCGATTACACGCTCACAACATTTCCATTTCCTAACTGATCTACGGCATGTGATGCTCTTAGAGAGCCTTTTCATGGTTATTAAGTGGAATTACAAAAGTAACAACACAAAATGTACTTCAGGAACGAAGACTGAAAGAAAACGAGCAGCTTCTTGACTTACAACAGATTTAGAAATTTGGCACTAGAGTCTCTGGACTCCTGGACCAGGTGTGGCTCTGGTCACTCAGAAAAAGGCCAATGAAAAGAAAAGGAAGGGGAAAATCTCGCTGTTTAAACACCCTGCTAATTCCTCAAACTCCCCAAAATCTGTCTCTGAAAATGCCATACCTCCACGGTTTAAATGTGAAACGTCTCTTATGATCTAGGTACTCACTCTTTACCACGCTGAGTTGTTGAGAAACAAGAGCAACACAACATGATAAAGAGCCACTGAGCTCTTGGGTTTTCTACCTGTAAATGGCAGTAATATGCACTACTGTATGCTCGCTCTTCAGCCACTGCAGAACACCACAGTAAACATCAGCACAGGTCGTCAGCACACACTGAACTGCCTAAAAAAAGCTTCACTTTGCATAGTTCAAGCACCTCAGTGAATTATAACTAACACACCTACAGTCGTAGCTCAGTGATCAACACCGTACATAGAATATTGTGACTTTACAAGTCACCCAGTACCCTCGTGACACCGCTCTGTTCCTCAGCCCTGTAATTATGGTGTACAAGTCCCTTACAAAAATCGGTAGCGCTTGTTTTGAATTGCAACACAGAGAGAGGGAGATAAGCATGCTCATGTCAGCCACAGGGAAGCACAGTCAGCAGAACGATACCCAGTAAGCAGAACGGAAAATGATTCATTCCAGGATTCTTGTTAATGTTTTAAAGCAAGCAAAATAAAAAGAAAAGGTGGAGTCATGACAACGACCAGGAGGCCACAGTGACCAAAGCCATTCCAGTCAGCCAGCTCTTTGTATTTTAACTCTGACCATAAAAAATGCTGTGTTCAGCTTCACACCTGGCAGGACCATTCCAGCCTCTTGGTACTCCCCTCCTCTGAAGAATTAAACAACAAAACCTGAGTGCACAATGCACTACTACACTGGGTTTATCAGCTCCTTGAAAAGTCTCCTACGTGAGCTCTGCGAGTCTGAGAGAAGTTTGCAAGACAGAAAATACTTCACACTGAAACAAATCAGGGTTTGAAATAACCTTGCATTTCTTTCCAATTTGTGATGTATGTGCTGTTAGGATACGTACTTCTCCTGTGTTGTTCACATGTAAGAAAGAAATCGGATCTCTCAGTCTCACAGAGGCCAATATTGTCCCCAGATGTCCTTTTTAATCACAGATGAAAAAGGTTCACTCTTCAAGCTGCTGGGTCATCCACCACCTCTCTGTCTTTCATGTAGTGAAGACACAGAACTACTCACAGTGGATGTCAGTATCAAAATATCAATACCAAAATCTCCTTGAAACTGCAGGAAATCTTTGGGTTACATCTCCTGACTGTTACTTCCTCGTATTGGTGGGGTTTTTTTTCCCTTTAAAGTCCCATTTCAACCACTGCTCCCTTTCTTTTCAGGAATTCACGAATGCATCAGGGTTTCTGGCATGCACCTGAGATCCAGCGAAAAGCTACAGCAATCCCATGCTTTGTGTGGCAAACCCTACAACAAGCATCAAGCAGAGACATTGCTGCCAATTTTCCCTATTCCTATCTCAAGCCCTGGAAAAAACACAGCATTAGACATGTGGCGATGGGGAGAGTCATGCAGTGCTCACAAACACAATTAGAGAGATCACCACTACCTGGAGAGTCTGGACTTGCTGGCCTGAGGCGGATGCCACCTGGGCCTCAGTCTGCAGCTGGACAGCAGTGACACCACCCTGCTGCTGGGAATAGGAACAGGAAGAGCTTGAAACATGGCAACCACAGCTCTGACGAGAGACAACCACACTTTGCTGCAAGAGGGTGAGCTTCAAATTCAAACACACTGCTCTGGGAACATCAGGACTGGGAATACATTTAGCAAACCTAAGCATGGAGCACCAACAGACTGTGTGATACCGACAGGCTTCAGTGTCCCAAACAAAAATCACTTGCAAAGAACATGAGAGGTTATTTTGGAGAATTCAGAATCTCAGCCCCAGTGTTTTTGACTGCCACCTTTCTGCTCAATGTTTCCTTTCACTGCTCAGGTTTGTTACTGTGAAGGAGTTCAGGATTTTTGTCAGATTTGTTATAATAAAGGCCACAAATTCCTTCCCACACACGACAGCAGCAAACATGACTGCGGTCTAAGCTCCATCTATGGCACCCCCACATCAATGTCCTCCCACCACTGTGACCTTGAGGGACAATCTTGAGAGGTTGCAAGAGCAGTTAAATCTAAAAGCCTTTTCTATCTTTAGCCTGTTTAGTAAGAGTCCCAAAATAATCTGTGCTAACTGTGTTAGCATTTGGGAGATGAAGGACATCTCTCTACTAAAAGCTGTACTACAACAGGCCTATTAAAAATGTATTTTAGAAAACATTTCATGGCAAACACGACACAGGCCTGAAGAGCACACACTAAAAATGGAACAAGCCAAGGGGTGGTTTTACCTCTCTTTTACCTACAATGTGTCAATAAAACCAAATAAATCTTTGGTTATCTGCTGGAAGCAGGTTTTTTTCATATTTCTTAATGTGTAATTTTTTTTGTAACCTCAAGTACAATCTTGCTCTGATGGAAAGAGTCAACTTCAGCTAAATTCAATGGAAGAAGCTGGTCCCTGCTATCAGACACTCAAATAGGCTGATGGCAAAGCAAAGAGCATCTCCCTGGAAACCTCATCCAGTGGCTCGTTCATTTGCACGACAAATGAAGAAACTCCTCTTGCCCTCAACTACAGCAAACCTTGGATGCAACAAGAACTCAGCACCAGCACAGCTCATTACTGTAAAAACTGCATTACTGCACCTGAATGCAGTAAAAATCTCCAAGCCCTTAAAAAACCTCAACCCTGCTCATCCGCCCATTCTAACGTGAACTGGAAACTTCTCTTTGGGATGGATGAGTTTATCCAAAGCGATGAGTTTTGGTGCAATTCCTGTACTGTGTGCTCGTTGTGATCCACCTGCAGCTCTTAACAAAGAATCCCAAGAAAGAGTTCTTTGGAGAAAGCTGGGAAAGCCTCTATGGGCTTGACCAAAACCTATTTCAACCTGGGGGCAAATCTACCTTGTTCCTTGTGGACAACTGTTTCTATTAATATTCTATGTCTCCATTTTCAGAGAGGATTTGTTACTTTGCTCATGTCAGTTTGCAAACTCCCTGTTACACTGAAATCTGGTAGCTGGTACACCTGCAGTTTTACTCATTTAACTTTATAGTAAGTGGGGTTTTTTAAAACATATTCACTCTGACTTCCAGCCAGATCCCTGAGCAGTGATTAGGTGACAGACACCAGATAAACACATATCCAGACAGCATCACGAAGCATCTCTCGCTGCTTCTGGGAAACTTTGAGCAGCACAAAGGGGTTTCACCCGTCCCCACCTTCCATACCTGCTGCTGGATCTGCCCAGCCTGCACAACGATCTGCTCTGTGGAGCTGTTACTGTTGGCCGTGTACTGCTCCATAGCGCTTCGGCTTCAGTAAAAGGCACAGCTCGGTCTGCGTATCTGGCAAGAGAAGGTAAAACCCATGTGGTTACTGTCCCCAGGTTTGCAGATCAGTATTATCTTAGCTGAACAGCAAACCCTCTGCTGGCATTGAGCAAGAGCCACGCAGTAAGAGCTGGTGTTAAATCAAAGACCTGCCCCTCTTTCATAAAGTCACCTTGCTTTCATTGAGTAACTAAACCAGAATTGTAATGTAAAGAGCATAGAACTTGGCTGAGAAATAACAAGTATGTGTCTCAATTCTGCCGTTATCTTCAGGGAATCAAACAGCAGCTTTGAAGCCGTTTCTTGTCCAGTTTCACCCCTCAGGTCTCCACATTCCGGGCTATAGACAGTTGCCTGCACTGCATATTGGTGAAGGGGAGCGTTGCTGCTAAAATAACTCACAAAGTTTAGGTGTAAAACCAAAGTGCATTTCAAAAATCAAACAAAGTCAGGTGAAACTGTCTCTCTCTCCCCAGCTCCGCAGCCCTCCCTCCTCATACCGCTCTCTTCTCTTTCTACTTTCATATATTTTTGGAAATAGCCAGCAGACTTTTCACTGCTTCCACCCTTTCACTGCCTTTTATTGCTTGGACCCTTGCCTGCACATATGAAGAACACGCTGTTAAAATAAAACACTTAGTTCCATTACCTCCTTTCCCCTCACATTTCTTCTCTTCTCAGTGGATCAACAAAGGAAGAATTCTTACCATGACTTTTAATGAGGTATTTGATTTACGCTCTGACTGAACACGTACCTGCTATGTGAGTCTAAAAGCACTCTATAACTTCAACCTTCGGAGTCTAAAGCAACAAAAACCCAGGCTCCTTCAAAGAAGCGCACACGAAACTGAGTCACAACTTAAACTAAGTGTGCTGGTTGCTGTGGTTACTGCTGTAACACCACCTCACACTTCCTGCTCTTTAAAACACCCTTTGCACTTCAACGTCATGCATTTCTTACGAACACTTCATTCTGGCATCACCTGACTCCTCAGCGTGGCCTGAGAAAACACCAAATGATTTTACATTCTGTTGTTTCCTTCTGTGTTAACAGCAAACATCGCTTACCTCCAAACATGAGGGATTAACCAGCCTGTATCGTGACAGACCTTAAGCAAGTTCGTTACAGGGGGTGTTACACTCAGCCACAACAGTGTGAGAACCTCCTCAGGCCCTATCAGTCTTTAGCTGGGAAGAAGGATGTAATGATGCTAACCCTGGAGATCACACAGATAATCTGAGTCACAGCGCTGAAAGGCACCACGTTTTACTGCAGTTTTAACTCCATCCTCGGCCCATTTACTGACAGGTTTTCATCGCCTGACAATAAAATATAAATATTCTTTCTGAAGAGGATGCTCTCTACCGAGGTTGTCATTTCAGTTCGGCACTGTATACTTCATTCCTGCCCTAAACGCCTGTGGGCCTGTCAGAAAACAGCCCTCGCGTTTCATTCTGCGGGGAAGCATTTCAGTAGCAAGCACAGGATGCCAGGAAACCCCATGTGCCACAAGTTCTCTGCCTTCCCTAACACCACAACCCGAATTCAAGCACAGGCACACCTCCACTTGGGAATGCTTCTTCAGACCCCTGTAAGAGCCCCTGTCTTGTTCACTTAAAATATCAGGAGCAGGGTAATCCTAAACCAGAGTCACAAAGAGCTTTTACACCTGCTGGACCATAGTCCTCCAAGGGATTATTTCATTGCCTTCATTAAAACACAGAGCACCAGCTCTGCGGTATCAAAGTTAAACGCTAAAGATCAGTGATGTGCTCCAATGGCTCTTCTGCTCCTCCCACAGCTGAGCTCACCAGGCAGCTCCTCCTCACGGGGCCCTTGTGTGCCCTGAAAACGACTCTGCTCTCATTGTACCAGCACATACTCATAGATAGATACATGCACACGTACATGTGATGCTAGAGAAGCTGCAGCAAGGACAGTTCTCTTGGCAAATCAGCTACACTGAGAACAAACTAGCGTGGCAAAGTGGGCTAGGACTTGAGCATCGTTTAAAACGTGTTGCACCCTGAAGCTGCGTTACAAAACTGGCTGAAGTTTCTAGGACAGACCCTGTTAATCCACCTGTGTGACCGCTGTTCACCAAGGACACCAGTGTAGGACAAACACCCACAGGAAGCCAAGGGCAGGATTTAACTAAAAACCACACAGACAGCCCAGTCTTATCTCACCCCGTTTGGCAGAATAAAACACCTGGTACCCAGATTTTGTTTCCGACTTGTTTATCAAACAAGCGAGTCAGGGAGCTCACCCAAGGTCGTTTATATTTTATTGCGGAAAGCCTCAGACCTGGGGGTTTTCTCAGCGGGCAGAGCACGCTGTGTAGTGCTCAGGTGGACCCAGCGATGCCCTGCAGCTCCTGGAGAAAGCGAAGGAGCAGCGAGGCCCCTCGCTCCCGCAGGGAGGGCCGTTTCTCCTCGCAGAGCAGCATGTGGCTGGTGACATTTGGCGGCCAGGTGCGTTTAGGGGAGGCGGGAGGGGGAGGCCACACACCCGCTTCACCAGCAGCCCGGGGGGAGGAGGAAGGGGGGCAGCGACCTGCCCTCGGCGCACACTCGGCGGCTTCCCCGCACCTCCCCCGGGCAAGGCGGGGAGGAGGG